CCAACATGGTGCTGGTAGTGGACCAACATAGTGCTGGTGTGGACCAACATAGTGCTGGTAGTGTGGGCCAACATAGTGCTAGTAGTGTGGACCAACATAGTGCTAGTAGTGTGGGCCAACATAGTGCTAGTAGTGGACAGGCAACATAGTGCTAGTGCGTGGACCAACATAGTGCTAGTAGTGTTGAACAACATAGTGCTAGTAGTGTGGAGCAACACATAGTGCTAGTGTGGAGCAACATAGTGCTAGTAGTGTGGACCAACATAGTGCTGTGGTAGTGTGGAGCAACATAGTGCTAGTAGTGTGGCCCAACATAGTGCTAGTAGTGTGGCCCAACATGGTGCTAGTACTATGGACCAACATAGTGCTATTAGTATGGAGCAACAAAGTGCTAGTACTGTGGACCAACATAGTGCTAGTAGTGTGGACCAACATAGTGCTGGTAGTGTGGAGCAACATAGTGCTAGTAGTGTGGACCAACATAGTGCTAGTAGTGTGGCTAACATAGTGCTAGTACTGTGGACCAACATAGTGCTGGTAGTGTGGAGCAACATAGTGCTAGTACTGTGGACCAACATAGTGCTAGTAGTGTGGACCAACATAATTGCTAGTAGTGTGGAGCAACATGGATGCTAGTACTGTGGACAACTTTTATAGTGCTGGTAGTGTGGAGCAACATAGTGCTTTAGTACTGTGGACCAACATAGTGCTAGTAGTGTGGACCAACATAGTGCTGGTAGTGTGGGCCAACATAGTGCTAGTAGTGTGGACCAACATAGTGCTGAATAGTGTGGCCCAACATAGTGCTGGTAGTGTGGACCAACATAGTGCTAGTAGTGTGGGCCAACATAGTGCTAGTAGTGTGGACCAACATAGTGCTTAGTAGTGTGGACCAACATAGTGCTAGTACTGTGGACCAACATAATTAACTGGTAGTGTGGGCAACATAGTGCTTTGAATGCACAATGGACCAACATAGTGCTTGTAGTGTGGAGCAACATAGTGCTGGTAGTGTGGACCAACATGAATTGCTTTAGTAGTGTGAGACCAACATAGTGCTAGTAGTGTGGACCAACATAGTGCTAGTAGTGTGGACCAACATAATTGCTAGTAGTGTGGCCCAACATAGTGCGCTGTGGTGTGGACCAACATGAGTGCTAGTAGTGTGGGCAACATAGTGCTGGTAGTGTGGCCCAACATAGTGCTGGTAGGTGGACCAACATAGTGCTAGTAGTGTGGGCCAACATAGTGCTAGTACTGTGGACCAACATAGTGCTAGTAGTGTGGAGCAACATAGTGCTAGTACTGTGGACCAACATAGTGCTAGTGTGGACCAACATAGTGCTAGTTATGTGGACCAACATGGTACTGTGGACCAACATAGTGTAGTAGTTTGGATAACATAGTGCTAGTAGTGTGTAACATAGTGCTAGTAGTGTGGGCCAACATAGTGCTAGTGTGGGCCAACATAGTGCTAGTAGTGTGGACCAACATAGTGCTGGTAGTGTGGACCAACATAGTGCTAGTAGTGTGGACCAACATAGTGCTAGTAGTGTGGGCCAACATAGTGCTGGTAGTGTGGGCCAACATAGTGCTAGTAGTGTGGACCAACATAGTGCTGGTAGTGTGGACCAACATGGTGCTGGTAGTATTGGACCAACACATAGTGCTGGTAGTGTGGACCAACATAGTGCTAGTACTGTGGACCAACATAGTGCTAGTAGTCATTGGAGCAACATAGTGCTAGTAGTGTGGAGCAACATAGTGCTAGTAGTGTGGAGCAACATAGTGCTAGTAGTGTGGACCAACATAGTGCTGGTAGTGTGGAGCAACATAGTGCTAATGTGGCCCCAACATGGTAAGTGGTGTGGCTAACATAGTGCTAATTACTGTGGACCAACATAGTGCTGGTAGTGTGGAGCAACATGGTGCTAGTACTGTGGACCAACATGAATGCTTCAGTAGTGTGGGATAACATAGTGCTGGTAGTGTGGAACAACATAGTGCTAGTAGTGTGGACCAACATGGTGCTAGTAGTGCGGCCCAACATAGTGCTAGTACTGTGGACCAACATAGTGCTGGTAATTGTGGAGCAACATAGTGCTAGTACTGTGGACCAACATAGTGCTAGTAGTGTGGACCAACATAGTGCTAGTGTGGAGCAACATAGTGCTAGTACTGTGGACCAACATAGTGCTGGTAGTGTGGAGCAACATAGTGCTAGTACTGTGGACAACATAGTGCTAGTAGTGTGGACCAACATAGTGCTGGTAGTGTGGAGCCAACATAGTGTAGTAGTGTGGACAACATAGTGCTGGTAGTGTGGCCCAACATAGTGCTGGTAGTGTGGACCAACATGGTGCTGTAGTAGTGTGATTAACATAGTGCTAGTAGTGTGGACCAACATAGTGCTAGTAGTGTGGACCAACATAGTGCTGGTACTGGGATAACATAGTGCTAGTAGTGTGGAGCAACATGGTGCTAGTGCGTGGACCAACATAGTGCTTGTAGTGTGGAGCAACATGGTGCTGGTGGACCAACATAGTGCTAGTAGTGTGGACCAACATGGTACTGAAATAGTGTGGACCAACATGGTGCTCTAATAATTAATGGCCCCAACATAGTGCTGGTAGTGGACCAACACAAGGTTTTAGTAGTGTGGAGCAACATAGTGCTGGTAGTGTGGCCCAACTTATGGTGCTGGTAGTGTGGACCAACATAGTGCTAGTAGTGTGGGCCAACATAGTGCTAGTACTGTGGACCAACATAGTGCTAGTAGTGTGGAGCAACATAGTGCTGGTACTGTGGACCAACATAGTGCTAGTAGTGTGGACCAACATAGTGCTAGTACTGTGGATTGACAGTGCTAGTGTGGGTGTAACATAGTGCTATTAGTGTGGAGCAACATGCTGTGGACCAACATAGTGCTAGTAGTGGACCAACATAGTGCTAGTAGTGTGGAGCAACATGGTGCTAGTAGTGTGGGCAACATAGTGCTAGTAGTGTGGACCAACATAGTGCTAGTACTGTGGACCAACATAGTACTAGTAGTGTGGACCAACATAGTGCCTTTAGTAGTGTGGAGCAACATGGTGCTTGTAGTGTGGAGCAACATAGTGCTAGTAGTGTGGAGCCCAACATGCTAGTACTGTGGACCATATAGTGCTGATAGTGTGGCCCAACATAGTGCTGGTAGTGTGGACCAACATAGTGCAGTAGTGTGGACCAACATGGTGCTGTGAGTGTGGACAACATAGTGCTAGTAGTGTGGAGCAACATAGTGCTAATGTGTGGGGCCAACATAGTGCTAGTAGTATTGGGCCAACATAGTGCTAGTAGTGTGGACCAGCATAGTGCTGTGCTGTGGACCAACATATAGTGCTGGTAGTGGAGCAACATAGTGCTAGTACTGTGGACCAACATAGTGCTAGTACTGTGGACCAACATAGTGCTGGTAGTGTGGAGCAACATAGTGCTAGTAGTGTGGACCAACATAGTGCTAGTAGTGTGGCCCAACATAGTGCTAGTAGTGTGGACCAACATAGTGCTAGTAGTGTGGACCAATATGGTGCTAGTAGTGTGGACCAACATAGTGCTAGTAGTGTGGACCAGCATAATTTAACAGTAGTGTGGACAACATAGTGCTAGTAGTGTGGCCCAACATAGTGCTAGTAGTGTGGGCCAACATAGTGCTAGTAGTGTGGACCAACATAGTGCTAGTAGTGTGTGGACCAACATAGTGCTTTGGTAGTGTGGCCCAACATAGTGCTAGTAGTGTGGACCAACATAGTGCTAGTAGTGTGGACCAACATAGTGCTAGTGTGGGCCAACATAGTGCTAGTAGTGTGGACCAACATAGTGCTAGTAGTGTGGACCAACATAGTGCTAGTAGGTGTGGGCCAACATAGTGCTGTGGTATGGACCAACATAGTGCTAGTAGTGTGAGCCAACATAGTGCTGGTAGTATTAAGGCCAACATAGTGCTAGTAGTGTGAGCCAACATAGTGCTGGTGGTGTGGAGCCAACATAGTGCTAGTAGTGTGAGCCAACATAGTGCTGGTAGTGTGGGCCAACATAGTGCTAGTAGTGTGGACCAACATAGTGCTAGTAGTGTGGACCAACATAGTACAGTAGTGGACCAACATAGTGCTTGCTAGTAGTGTGAGCCAACATAGTGCTGGTAGTGTGGCCCCAACATAGTGCTAGTAGTGTGGACCAACATAGTGCTAGTAGTGTGGACCAACATAGATGCTAGTAGTGTGGGCCAACATAGTGCTAGTGCACAATGGACCAACATAGTGCTAGTAATTATTGGGCCAACATAATTAACTAGTAGTGTGGACCAACATAGTGCTAGTACTGTGGACCAACATAGTGCTAGTAGTGTGGATAACATAGTGCTAATGTGTGGCCCAACATAGTGCTAGTGTGGGCCAACATAGTGCTTAGTAGTGTGGGCCAACATAGTGCTAGTAGTGTGGACCAACATAGTGCTGGTGAGTGTGGACCAACATGGTGCTGAGTAGTGTGGACCAACATAGTGCTGAAGTAGTGTGTGGGCCAACATGGTGCTGACAGTGTGAGCCAACATGAGTGCTAGTAGTGTGGACCAACATAGTGCTGGTAGTGTGGACCAACATAGTGCTGGTGTGGTGTGGACCAACATAGTGCTGGTAGTGTGGACCAACATAGTGCTAGTAGTGTGGACCAACATGAATTGCTGGTGAGTGTGGACCAACATAGTGCTAGTAGTGTGGACCAACATAGTGCTGGTAGTGTGGACCAACATAGTGCTGGTAGTGTGGACCAACATAGTGCTGGTGATGTGGACCAACATAGTTTGTGCAGACCTGTTTTATCATATTAATGTTGTTTTTTTGAAGAGTAGCTCACAGAGGAACAACTGAGTTAAAGTTATTCAATATCTATGTGAATCAATCAATGTTTGTGTGTGTTATATCTCTCTCTGTGTAGTAAATCTTGCTGTCTTTATCTTTCAGAAGTGTGTGTGTGTGGGATGTTTGATTTGTCTTGTGTGGCAATAGGGAGGTGTGAGGGTGTTGTACGGTGGCTCGAATAACTACTGTATCTGTCGAAGGAGATTAAGAATCATCTGAAGATTAACCACCCTACTCCTAACCTAACTAGTCTATCCTAACCTAATGTTAACTAAACCTAACACTAACCTAACCTCCCTAACTCTGGTTCATCTTCAAGTGGCTCAGTATAATACAGCATTTTCACACATTAGTGGTGGCAACTTTAATGAGGAAGCAAAATTAAGTAGGATGAGTTTTGTAATTGAATTTGATACAGTTTATTTAGTGTTAAAAAATTGTGGTTGAGAATATTGAGTGAAGTTCTCTTGTCTTATGAGAATTAATATGTAAATATTTTATATTATCTGCAATATGTAGTTATATATATATGTCTAATGGTGTATATAACACAGTAATGATCGACTCCACCGCCTAACTCTTGTTCCTGGCCGGGTCTTTTGAGAACGACAAGTTGGTTGGGGTGGAGAGGGGGAATGGTGGTGTTGTGGGCGGTGCTATATGACACAAGCTCCTCACCTCAGAGGGAGGTTATTGAAGAAAGCAGGACAATTAATAAAAGAAGGAAGGGGAGTAAGTTTTGTCAATACAATATCTTAAGTTTTTATGGTTGAAAGAGCAATAGATGGGGATCCATATTATTATATTGTGATCCATTCATTTATTTTTTCAGGTTGTTGTTCAGGTTTTAAACAACAGTAATTAGATATTTATAATAACGTTGATATGAGGAGAAATATTGAAAATACGTGGGTGGAAATACCGTTTATTTATTTTTAATTTTTACCAACGCGGGTCCTGTAGAATCTCAACCCCCTGTCCAATGTCCTCCCTTTACTGTAACCTCCCTAGGTCTTCCTGTTGGCGAGGACACGTGGTCGTAGATAATGGATTGGTTCCTCCTAAACCGCTCCCACTCGGCCCTGTGTGTGTTGCCGGGTCAGTGTGGGCTATCTCGGGCTCCCACTGTCCTGTGTGTGTTGGAAGAGCCGGTCAGTGTGCGTCGTCTCGGCCCCACCGTCCTGTGTGTGTTGGAAGAGCCGGGTCAGCGGTCGTCTCGGGGCTCCCCACTCGTCCTGTGTGTGTTGGAAGAGCCGGGTCAGTGTGCGGTCGTCTCGGCTCCCACTGCCCTGTGTGTGTTGGAAGAGCCGGGTCAGTGTGCGGTCGTCTCGCCCCACTCGTCCTGTGTGTGTTGGAAGAGCCGGGTCGGAGTGCGGTCGTCTTGGGGCTCCCACTCGTTCACTATCTGGTCTCTATGGGGTTGAGGTCTGACGGTATTCACAGACATTCATAGTAATATTTTAACACAGTCAACGGCCCTGTGCAACATTATAATTATTAAAAAGACAACATATTTATTCTATTGGGTAAAGGAAAAGTTTATATGAATTAATATGAACTTGACAGGTGCCAATGGTTGAACTTGACAGGTGCCAATGGTTGTACTTGACAGGTGCCAATGGTTGTACTTGACAGGTGCCATTGGTTGTACTTGACAGGTGCCATTGGTTGAACTTGACAGGTGCCAATGGCTGAACTTGACAGGTGCCATTGGTTGAACTTGACAGGTGCCAATGGTTGTAGTGATTAACTGTGAGAAACTTAATACCAACCTGGCCGGCCAATCCAAAAGGTCAATTTCATCCCACTTTTCCTTGAACCAGCTGCCCACCACCTTTGTCGTGCCACCAGAGCAGTTAGCCTACAAGTGGAGGATATTCTTCATACATTTGTTATCACTGTTTACAATAACATAAATCGGCGGCTCCATGTAGATAAATTTTCGACTTTGAAAAATTATTTATGCGAAAATGAATCTCTCACTTGCAAATAGACTATTTTTAGTGGCTCGGGGAGTATGGAAACAAGGACAGCATCACCTCTTGCAGCAGCTTGAGGTGAACGTCTGAGGTGAATCAATAATTTACGTCTGCCAACTCCCCCAAGGTTCACCCACTCCTGGCCTCTGTAAATATTATGATGCTTGTAGTGGATGCACCAGCAGGCCCTGTGATTGGTTGATGATAGTTATTTGTGCACCAGCAGGCCCTGTGATTGGTTGATGATAGTTATTGGTGCACCAGCAGGCCCTGTGATTGGTTGATGACGTTATTGGTGCACCAGCAGGCCCTGTGATTGGTTGATGATAGTTATTGGTGCACCAGCAGGCCCTGTGATTGGTTGATGATAGTTGGTGCACCAGCAGGCCCTGTGATTGGTTGATGATAGTTATTGGTGCACCAGCAGGCCCTGTGATTGGTTGATGATAGTTATTGGTGCACCAGCAGGCCCTGTGATTGGTTGATGATAGTTATTGGTGCACCAGCAGGCCCTGTGATTGGTTGATGACAGTTATTGGTGCACCAGCAGGCCCTGTGATTGGTTGATGACAGTTATTGGTGCACCAGCAGGCCCTGTGATTGGTTGATGATAGTTATTGGTGCACCAGCAGGCCCTGTGATTGGTTGATGATAGTTATTGGTGCACCAGCAGGCCCTGTGATTGGTTGATGATAGTTATTGGTGCACCAGCAGGCCTGTGATTGGTTGATGACAGTTATTGGTGCACCAGCAGGCCCTGTGATTGGTTGATGATAGTTATTGGTGCACCAGCAGGCCTTGTGATTGGTTGATGATAGTTATTGGTGCACCAGCAGGCCCTGTGATTGGTTGATGATAGTTATTGGTGCACCAGCAGGCCCTGTGATCGGTTGATGATAGTTATTGGTGCACCAGCAGGCCCTGTGATTGGTTGATGATAGTTATTGGTGCACCAGCAGGCCCTGTGATTGGTTGATGATAGTTATTGGTGCACCAGCAGGCCCTGTGATTGGTTGATGATAGTTATTGGTGCACCAGCAGGCCCTGTGATCGGTTGATGATAGTTATTGGTGCACCAGCAGGCCCTGTGATTGGTTGATGATGGGGTATTTTCATCTTAAAAAATAACTTGAGATCAATACTCCAAATTTTTATTGATGTATTCATGGCTAGCCCCTACCGTCACGTGTCTCTCGTGCAGCTTCTCCTCAAGCTGGGACATGATTGCTGGACTCCACCGCACTATCCTGGCAGTTACGTTGTCCTCCTCCCCTGTTGTCTCCCCAGCCTGAAATTATAGGGTATACAGAAATAAGAGTTAAAATGTATTTATTTACATTACACTCCTGAAATTAATCATTTTAATATATCAAATGCCAACAAACCAAAGGTAATACCCAGACTCCCCACCGAGTTAACCAATGTTTCACGGTAACCCCGCCCTCCTTTGTAATTTCTGCCTCGTTGTAACTGGCGGCGCACGGTCAATGTTCTTTACTGGGCTGGAAGTGATGAACTAGTGGCCGAACATTACTGCCTCCATCACCTCACAAACATTATTGCCTCCATCACCTCACAAACGTATTGCCTCCATCACCTCACCAAACATTATGCACTCATCACCTCACAAAGCATTATTGCCTCCATCACCTCACAAAACGTGTACCTCCATCACCTCACAACAGTGGCCACTCCATCTCACAAACATTATTGCCTCCATCACCTCACAACATTATTGCCTCCATCACCTCACAAACATTATTGCCTCCATCACTGCAAACATTATTGCCTCCATCACCTCACATCGATTTTCACAACTCTAATAAACATATTACAGGGTGGATGAGTCACATTCTATACAGCAATTAACTTTTTTTTATCAATTAATAGTGGAGACCAAGCCACACCCCCTCACCCATTGTAGTGGCAAGGTGTAACAACCTATTTCAGTGTTACTGGTGGTGACCAAGTCACACCCCCTCACGGTAGTGGCGAGGTGTAACAACCTATTTCAGTGTTACTGGTGGTGACCAAGCCACACTCGCAATGGTGGCAGGTGTAACAACCTATTTCCAGTGTTACTGGTGGTAAGCCACACCCCTCACAGTAGTTGCAAGGTGTAACAACCTATTTCAGTGTTACTGGTGGTGACTAAGCCACACCTCCTTGTTAGTGGTGAGGTGTAACAACCTGCAGTGTTACTGGTGGTGACCAAGCCACACCCCCCCCCTCCCGCAGTAGTGAGGTGCAACAACCTGCTTCAGTGTTACTGGTGGTGACCAGCCACCTCCGCAGTAGTGGTGAGGTGTAATAGCCTACTTCAGTGTTACTGGTGGTGGTAAGCCACACCCCTCACGGTAGTGGCGAGATGTAACAACCTACTTCAGTGTTACTGGTGGTGGCCAAGCCACACACCCCTCACAGTAGTGGTGAGGTGTAACAACCTACTTCAAGTGGCTACTGGTGGTGACCAGCCACACCCCTCACGGTAGTAGTGAGGTGTAACAACCTCACTTCAGTGTTGCTGGTGGTGACCAGCCACACCCCTCCCGTGAGTGGCGAGGTGCAACAACCCTACTTCAGTGTTACTGGTGAGTGACCAAGCCACACCCTCACGCGGTAGTGGCGAGGTGTAACAACCTACTTCAGTGTTACTGGTGACCAAGCCACCACTCCGCAGTGAGTGGCAGTGTAACAACCTACTTCAGTGTTACTGGTGGTGACCAGGCACACCCCCTCACACGGCTGTGGTGAGGTGTAAACAACCTACTTCAGTGTTACTGGTGGTGACCAAGTCACACCTTACCCCCTCCCAGTGAGTAGCGAGGTGTAATAGCCTACTTCGAGTGTTACTGGTGGTGACCAAGCCACACCCCCTCACAGTAGTGGTGAGGTGTAATAATACTTCCAGTGTTACTGGTGATGACAAGCCACCTCACGTAAGTGGCGGTGTAACAACTTTCTTCAGTGTTACTGGTGGTGACCAAGCCCACGCCCCTCACAGTGGCGAGGTGTAACCTACTTCCAGTGTTACTGGTGGTGACCAAGCCACACCCCCTCCTGACACGTGTAGTGGCGAGGTGCAACAACCTACTTCAGTGTTACTGGTGGTGACCAAGCCACACCCCTCACGGTAGTGGTGAGGTGTAACAACCTACTTCAGTGTTACTGGTGGTGACCAAGCCACCCCCTCACGGTAGTGGTGAGGTGTAACAACCTACTTCAGTGTTACTGGTGGTGACCAAGCCACACCCCCTCACGAGTGTGGTGAGCTGTAACAACCTACTTCAGTGTTACTGGTGGTGACCAAGCCACACCCCCTCACGTAGTGGTGAGGTGTAACAACCTACTTCAGTGTTACTGGGGTGACCAAGCCACACCCTCACGGTAGTGGTGAGGTGCAACAACCTACTTCAGTGTTACTGGTGGTGACCAAGCCACACCCCCTCACGGTAGTGGTGAGGTAACAACCTACTTCAGTGTTACTGGTGGTGATCAGCCACACCCCGTCACGGTAGTGGCGAGGTGTAACAACCTACTTCAGTGTTACTGGTGGTGACCAAGCCACACCCCTCACGGTAGTTGCAGGTGTAACAACCTACTAGTGTTACTGGTGGTGACTAAGACACCCCCCACGGTAGGCGAGGTGCAACAACCTACTTCAGTGTTACTGGTGGGACCAAGCCACCCCACTCACGGTAGTGGCGAGGTGTAACAACCTACTTCAGTGTTACTGGTGGTGACCAAGCCACACCCCTCACAGGTAGTGGTGAGGTGTAACAACCCACTTCAGTGTTACTGGTGGTGACCAAGCCACACCCTCACGGTAGTGGTGAGGTGTAACAACCTACTTCAGTGTTACTGGTGGTGATCAGTTTCACACCCTCGCCACGGTAGTGGCGAGGTGTAACAACCTACTTCAGTGTTACTGGTGGTGACCAAGCCACACCCCTCACGGTGAAGTTAAAGGTGTAACAACCTTACTCAGTGTTACTGGTGGTGACTAGTTTGACACCCCCCACGGTAGGCGAGGTGCAACAACCTACTCAGTGTTACTGGTGAGACCAAGCCACACCCACTCAATGCAGGTAGTGGCGAGGTGTAACAACCTACTTCCAGTGTTACTGGTGGTGACCTCAAGCCACACCCCTCACACGGTAGTGGTGAGGTGTAACAACCCACTTCCAGTTACTGGTGGTGACCAAGCCACACCCTCACGCAGTAGTGGTGAGGTGTAACAACCTACTTCCAGTGTTACTGGTGGGAGACTGCTTCACACCCCCTCACGGTAGTGGCGAGGTGTAACAACCTACTTCAGTGTTACTGGTGGTGACCACACACCCCCTCACACGGTAGTGGTGAGGTGTAACAACCTACTTCAGTGTTACTGGTGGAGACTAAGCCACACCCCTCACGGTAGTGGTGTGAGGTGTAACAACCTACTTCAGTACATTGGTGGTGACTGCCACACTCTCACGGTAGTGGCGCAGGTGTAACAACCTACTTCAGTGTTACTGGTGAGACCAAGCCACACCCCTCACGTAGTGGTGGTGAGTGGGTGTAACAACCCACTTCAGTGTTACTGGTGAGACTAGTTTCACACCCCTCACGGTAGTGGTGAGGTGTAACTACTCAGTGTTACTGGTGAAAATCAAGCCACACCCCTCACGGTAGTGGCGAGGTGTAACAACCTACTCAGTGTTACTGGTGTAGACCAAGCCACACCTCACGGTAGTGGAAGTAGGTGTAACAACCTACTTCAGTGTTACTGGTGGTGACCAGCCACACCCCCACGGGTAGTGGTGTGAGGTGTAACAACCTACTTCAGTGTTACTGGTGGTGACTGCTTCACACCCCTCACGGTAGTGGTGAGGTGTAACAACCTACTTCAGTGTTACTGGTGGTGACCAAGCCACACCCCTCACGGTAGTGGCTTAGGTGCATCAACCTACTTCAGTGCGTTACTTTGCGGTGACTGCTTCACCCCCTCACGGTAGTGGCGAGGTGTAACAACCTACTTCAGGTGTTACTGGTGGTGATCAGTTTCACACCTCGTCACGGTAGTGGCGCAGGTGTAACAACCTACTAGTAGCCATTGGTGGTGACTAAGCCACACCCCTCACGGTAGTAAGCAGGTGTAACAACCTACTTCAGTGTTACTGGTGGTGACCAAGCCACACCCCAATCCCCTTGTGTTGTCATCATATGAGGGGCTTTCCTTCACTGAAGCCAGATGCCTTATCAACCCTAATGACACATCACCTGCCAAAAGCTCACTCACATTACTCTCCAGAACCTCACGTAAAGGCAAAGATAACTAAAGGAGAATTAAGTCCATATAACAGCTCCCTGGACACCGGCCCTCCTGGTTGAGCTTCTCAACCTATAAACTGCTAGGGTCATCAACATCCACCAACCTTAACTCTTTCTTCAGGTGTTGAAGGATAACCTAGCATCACTTACAACTTCACTATGTATGTAGTCCTTGACTTGCGCCTCCTTCCCGCGCCACCCCCACCCCCAGATCCAACGTAGAAAGGGGCCTCCAGCTCATGGGTATGGTAGTAAGAGGAGTCGATGACAATAAGTTGACCGTGACTGTACGGTATAGTCATAACTTTTGTGTAGTACAGGCATCCCCCGCAGTATGAAATCCCTGGTTACGGAATTTTGCCCTCACAGAATTTTTAAAATATTACCCAAAATTTCGAGCCATGGAAACAAACTCACCCTTGTGGTACTTTGGTAAATCTTAAAAAAATAAAATAAAAAATAAATGATTTACAATTTTTTTTTTATCCAAATTGTAAAAATATTTTTGTGAGGATTCTCTGTGGTAGCCACAAGGCGGCTGCAGCCCCACAACAACAACAGTTTTGGGTTGTTTGAATCTCCAGTCATTGTTCAGCTTTGCCTCTCTTTTGTGGACTGTATTATAAGTATTATACTGTGTATTATTATTCAAGATGAGTGGACAGAGGCCATCAAGTGCTAGTAGTGGTGGTAAGAGAGCTCCAAAAGGGTATTTACCTTAGAAACAAAATCAGATATGTTAAGGTGTAAATTAGTACTAGTGCTAAAGTTGGCAAGTTTCCGTACACTATATTTTCATCGTAGTGATGTTATGATCTAAATGGAACTTTATTGAGGACCAGACCAAGTGAAATGTGGCCATCAGCAATTCACATGGTGATTCAGGAAAAAGCTAAGAGTCTGCACACAGATTTAAGCCAGGAACAAGGTGCTAGTTCTGATAAAAAACCCTTTAATGCCAGCAATACTAAAGGCAATCATTGAGGCTGATATATTATCACTACAAATGTTGATGAAACAGTGCTTTTCTTGTCTGCCAGCACATTTATTTCAACTGAGGAGAAACAGCCTTTGGTTTTAAGATCTCCGCAAAGATCATGTAATGGCTCTGTTAGGAGGTAATTCTGTAGGAGATCTTAAATTATAGCCCATGCTTGTGTACTAAAAGTCTTCTGCTGAACTATAAGCCAAGTAACCAGTGATACAGCGCTCCAATAGGAAAGCTTGGATGACTGGCAGCCTGTTCCAAGTTTGGTTTACAAATTGTTTCTCTCCTGTGGTAGAAAGGAACAGTAGCCAACAAAATATTTCCAACCAAGCCTTGTTACTGTTAGATAATGCTCCCAGCCATCCTGTTAACTTTAATAACCTTTCCACTAATATCAGGGTTGGGGCCACTGCCCAAGAACACAATTGCCTTGTTACAGCCATGGATCGAAGTGTGATTGTCAGCTTTAAGGCCAACTATTTACGCAGGACTTTAGACAACTTATAGCTGCCATTAATGGTGAGGATCGGTCTGAGATTTCTGGAAGAAGTTTAACATAATGAATGTTTTCCTAGGATAAGGTCATGGGTGGTGTGTGGAAGAACATCTGGCCAGAATGTAACCATGATTACCAAGGGCTCTCAGGTTCAGGTGCATGGATCAGGATGTTGTGGTTGAGCTGCCAGAGTCAGCTGCGACAGGATCTGTCCAATGAGGATCTTAAAGTAATGGAACAGAAGTGAGCTGCTGGGGAGAAAACAAAGGTTTTGTCTGAAGTGCTTTGTCAACTTGAAGATGTGAGGCATACCATTGAGACATACCATCCAGACCGTGAATGCAGCCTCAAGTTTGCAAGAGGATTGGAGAACCCATGAGCGTACATAAGGAACCGGGTGACACTGAAAATTTGCTCCGTCAGTGACAGACCACAAGTTGTTTGCCCCTAAACCACAGCCAGCAGCAGCCAAAGATGATGATGGCAGGAGTGACCCATCTTCCTCCTCCCAGTAACTCCAGTTGCACCTCCTCACCTAACTCAGCACTCAACATTGTTTCTGGTGAGTAAAAATTTGGTGTTTTATTCATTTATTATCATGTTACATCATGAATGACTCATTGTATGTGGTTAAAACCGTCTAATTTCATACATATATGTGCCTGGGTCACATTTTTGGGCCTTAAAAGACTCTTATAGGAACACATCTCAACTTTTATAATGGAAATCAATGGGAAAATTGTTTTGCATTATGAAATTTCGCATTGTGGGAAAATTTGACCAGTCCGATGCCTGTATTATAGAGGAGTGTTATAATCTTGGTAGATAAGTATAAGATAAAGTGTATCAACTATGAGACAACTCCTGCCTCTCATAAATTGCTCTAGATGTTCTTGTGTATATAGGTACTATACTGTATATATTATTGGCCTTGTGTACCATATATTTTCATCAAGTGGGTGTAGTGTGGGTCATGTTGTACACATGATGTTTATGATGAAGTAGCAATGTTTGGGTGTAGGGGTCATGCTGCTGTACACATGATGTCGGCGGATGAAGAAAGCAATGTTTGGGTGTAGGTCATGTTGTATAGATGATGTTTATGATGAAGTAGCAATGTTTAGTAGTGTGGGTCATGTTGTACAATTACGATGTTTATGATGAAGTAGCAATGTTTGGGTGTGGGTCATGTTGTACACATGATGTTTATGATGAAGTAGCAATGTTTGGGTGTGTAGGCTCATGTTGTATAGATGATGTTTATGATGAAGTAGCAATGTTTGGGTGTGTAATCGCGTTGTATAGATGATGTTTATGATGAAGTAGCAATGTTTGGGTGTGGGTCATGTTGTATAGATGATGTTTATGATGAAGTAGCAATGTTTGGGTGTGGGTCATGCAAGTTGTACACATGATGTTTATGATGAAGCAGCAATGTTTGGGTGTAGGTCATGTTGTACACATGATGTTTATGATGAAGTAGCAATGTTTGGGTGTAGGTCATGTTGTATAGATGATGCTTTATGATGAAGTAGCAATGCGTTTGGGTGTAGGTCATGTTGTATAGATGATGTTTATGATGAAGTAGCAATGTTTGGGTGTGTGGGTCATGTTGTATAGATGATGTTTATGTGATGAAGTAGCAATGTTTGGGTGTGGGTCATGTTGTATAGATGATGTTTATGATGAAGTAGCAATGTTTGGGTGTGGGTCATGTTGTATAGATGATGTTTATGATGAAGCAGCAATGTTTGGGTGTGGGTCATGTTGTATAGATGATGTTTTATGATGCAGCAGTTAAATGTGTTTGGGTGTGGGTCATGTTGTATAGGATGATGTTTATGATTTAGCAGCACGTTTGGGTGTGGGTCAAGCTTTTTCGTATAGATGATGTTTATGATGAAGTAGCAATGTTTGGGTGTGGGTCATGTTGTATAGATGATGTTTATGTGATGAAGCAGCAATGTTTGGGGTCATGTTGTATAGATGATGTTTATGATGAAGTAGCAATGTTTGGGTGTAGGTCATGTTGTATAGATGATGTTTATGATGAAGTAGCAATGTTTGGGTGTAATGTTGCAGGTATTACGATGCTTGGCGATGAAGTATGTTTGGGTGTGGGTCAGTGCTTGCTGTACACATGATGTTTATGATGAAGCAGCAATGTTTGGGTGTAGGTCATGCTAGTAAGTGATGATGTTTATGATGAAGCAGCAATGTTTGGGTGTGGGTCATGTTGTACACATGATGTTTATGATGAAGTAGCAATGTTTGGGGTGTAGGTCATGTTGTATAGATGATGTTTATGATGAAGTAGCAATGTTTGGGTGTGGGTCATGTTGTATGTGATGATGTTTATGATGAAGTAGCAATGTTTGGGTGTGGGTCATGTTGTATAGGATGATGATGAAGTAGCAATGTTTGGGTGTATGTTATGTTGTATAGATGATGCTTCTATGATGAAGCAGCAATGTTTGGGTGTAGGTTATGCTGTATAGATGATGTTTATGATGAAGTAGCAATGTTTGGGTGTGGGTCATGTTGTACACATGATGTTTATGATGAAGCAGCAACAAGTTTGGGTGTAGGTCGCGTTGTACCACATGATGTTTGCGATGAAGTAGCAATGTTTGGGTGTAACGCGTTGTACAATACGATGTTTGAAGATGAAGCAGCAATGTTTGGGGTGCAGGTCGCGTTGTATAGATGATGTTTATGATGAAGCAGCAAATGTTTGGGTGTGGGTTATGTTGTATAGATGATGTTTATGATGAAGTAGCAATGCTTGGGTGTACTGCTCGCACATGATGTTTATGATGAAGTAGCAATGTTTGGGTGTACTGCGTTGTATAGATGATGTTTAGCGATGAAGCAGCACGTTTGGGTGTAGGTCATGTTGTATAGATGATGTTTATGATGAAGTAGCAATGTTTAGCGGGTCATGTTGTATAGATGATGTTTATGATGAAGTAGCAATGTTTGGGTGGGGAAGGTCATGTTGTACACATGATGTTTATGATGAAGTAGCAATGTTTGGGTGTGGGTCATGTTGTATAGATGATGTTTATGATGAAGTAGCAACGTTTGGGTGTAGGTAATCAAGTGTTGTATAGATGATGTTTATGATGAAGCAGCAATGTTTGGGTAAAATGCGTTGTATAGATGATGCTTATGATGAAGTAGCAATGTTTGGGTGTGGGTCATGTTGCACACATGATGTTTATGATGAAGTAGCAATGTTTGGTGTACTGCGTTGTATAGATGATGTTTATGATGAAGTAGCAATGTTTGGGTGTGGGTCATGCTGTATAGATGATGTTTATGATGAAGTAGCAATGTTTGGGTGTAGGTCATGCTGGTACACATGATGTTTATGATGAAGTAGC